AGGGGGCACGAATTTGAACGGAAAGCTTCCACCCTATCTAGTTGGAGAGGGAGATAGCCTTTTAAGTTTTAAGCATAGGGCTCCTCGGCCGGGGGAATTAGTTCGGTGGAGTCACATTTTGGTAACAAGTTCCAAAGTACTGAAACGGAGTTTTTGGTTTAGGCTTTCCGTTGCTTTGCGAACGAAAGCATGAGTTGGTTTATGCCGAGGAATATGAGTTAAGGCACATTATATGTGGGCAGATAAGCTCTCTACCCAGTTATCTATTTCTTATGCTACATTACTCATTTGCATCGATCTGAGTTGCACATTGAGTGACATGTGCATAAACGAAACCCTTAAAAGGTTGAGAGACAATAACGAATGCTGAGCACGTTGGGAGTAATAGAGCTGAACAACACAAGCCAGGAAAATTCTGGAGTATCCGACTGACTAGCAAAGCCCCGCCGAGAGCTGAGAACAATGACTGAAAAGTTCCATGGGAGTCCTACAAGACACCTGTTACCAAACGGACGTGAAGAAATGGAAAAAGGATTCCCCAAGTTCCTCCTGGGAAGGGAAATTAGGAAGGTGGAAGAAATTAGAGAATATGTACGAGGCTACAAACGCTCAAGGTAAAGTGTTCATGATTCGTAAAGTCATGAACTTAAAGCTGTCAGAGGGGCGATTAGTTACACAACACCTGAACGATTTTGAAGGACTTGTAACTGAGTTAGCAGTTAGCGTTATGTCCTTGGAGGACGAGATGCAAGCATGCCTACTGTTGGGATCTCTACCGGATAGTTGGGATACTCTTATGGTATCATTGAGTAACTCGGCTCCAAATGGTGTGGTAACAATGTATATAGTAAAGAATAGACTACTCAATGAAGAACTACGAAGAAGAGACGTTGCCAGTACTAGTTCATAAGCCCTTGTCACAGAGAATAGGGGCCGAAGCAAGAGTAGAGGTCCAAGGCATGAAAAGTCAGGTGGTAGATCTAAGTCCAGAGAGATGAGAACCAGAGAGATGAGAAAGTGTTACTATTGCGGTAAGGAGGGTCATCTCAAAAGAAATTGTCGTTTACTCAAACAGGATAAAGCAAATCGAAGACAGGAAAATGACAGAAATACATCTGTTACAGTCTCAGCAGAAGATGGTGAGGTGACTTTAGTCACTCATGATGCAGATTGCTGTCATATTGGAGATGCAGATACCGAGTGAATAGTAGATTCCGGTGCTTCATACCACTGTGTTCCAAAAAGGGAATACTTTTCCACTTATAAAGCAGGAGCTTTTGGCACTATTAGAATGAGAAATAATAGTGTCTCGCAAGTGGTGGAATCGGTGATGTCTTGCATAAAGACAAGTGTCGGGTGCACATTAACGCTTAAAAATGTGAGACATATTCCCGATCTTCGATTGAACCTGTTGTCTGTCAGTGTACTGGACAAAGAAGGCTATCACCATTATACAGGTGACGGTAATTGAAAACTCACCAAAGGGTCTTTGGTGGTGGCGAGAGGAAAATTATGTTGCTCACTGTATAAGACGCACGTAATAATATGTGCGGGTCAGCTGAATACAGTTGCAGATGATGCTTCAACAAATTTGTGGCATAGGCTGCTGGCACACGTTAGTGAGAAAGGGTTGAATATGTTGGCTAAAAAGTCCCTCATACCATTAGCCAAAGGTAAAATAAACCATTGTGATCATTGTTTATTTGGAAAGCAACATCGTGCCTCATTTTTGAAAAGCTCTAGACGGAGAGACAACAAGTTGGAGTTGGTACACTGGACGTTGGTGAAACTCGTGACGTATCGTGGTCCATGGAATGGTAAGATATCACTTGCGAGTGAAGTATGGTATTTTTTCTAAACCTGTTCATTGGTAAATTTCCTTCGCTGAAAAAACATGGTATATATTTTGTTTCGCACAAAAGAACGCAAGTATTCAATGCAGCTTTCAAGCAATTTTCAATAGTGTCGATTCGGTGGAAAGCGGAGACTCGGCGCTGCGCATTCGAAGTGTGTTTGCGCGGCGCACGGCGGGATAATGGCGATGTGGAAGTATCAATCTGGCTAGGGAGGAAGGTTTAGAGATTATTTGTAGGTTAGGGCGGGTGGAGTGCAGGGCAGTGGGGAAGAAGACAGATTTCTTGGTATGCTCTCAACAGAACGGAACATTAGCTAAAATGAACGAGAATTGAATCGCAAACCAACTATGAAGATCGAGATAATGAAAGAAGATACAAGATCCAATGCTAAATGGCCAACTTACCTAAGCCATTTTGGGAGAAGACTGATCAAACTGGAGTCTGCGCCTAAATCAAAGACCCGAATACCTTAACCAAGCACCTTGGATATATTGGATAGTCGGGCTCGGGGGAAGATTGGTCTGGGACAGGTAGCACTACAATATTCTCCATCACCTCTCGACCCTGAAGGATTTTGGCTGCAAGACATTTTATGCATGTTTCGAAGGAGCAAGAGATCAAAAGCTTTGAATGACAAGTCTGTTACCTTGCACTTTTGTCTGGTTATGGAGACGACGGAGGTTATGGAGACGAAGAGTTTGGCTATAGGTTGTGGGACCCAGTGAAAAGAAAGTTGTCAGGAGCCGAGACGTAGTATTCCACGAGAATGAGATCGTGGCAGATACAACTTGTGAAGAATGCACAAGTGATGATGTTGTTGATATTACACCAGGAAGCATTCCTACAGATGATGCCACAGGAGGAGGAATGCCAGAATCAAAACAACAAGAAGAAGAAGAGCCAGTCGTAAGGGATCAAGAGACAAATGTAGATGATAACAATAATGCAGAGGGTGTTGAGCAGGGGGAGCCAGAGAACCCCATTCCACTAGAACGAGTTGAACCTCAGTTAAGAAGGTCAACCAGAGAACGCCAATCATCTACAAGGTACCCTAGTTCTGATTACATTTTGATTACTGATGAGGGGGAGCTAGAACATTATAATGATTAGCTGATGAGGGGGAGACCAGAGGAGCTTCCATAGATTGTGGCAATCTTGCACAAGCACAAAGATTTTGCTGGACAAAGGTCATGCAAGAGGAGATGAATTCTATATGAAAAAAGAAATGAAACCATGTAATAGAGACGCTGGTGAAAACTTTTCACAAAAGGAAAGAGAACACTCAAGAACAAATGGGTGTGTACATAACGTACTGATAAGATAAGATATGAGAAGGCAACCTACAGGTGAGATACAAAGCTCGATTGGTCATCAAAGGCCTTTACTAAAAAAAAAAAAAGGTATTGAACTTTGATAAAGATTTTTTGTCACACAGTTGTGCTAGAGTATCATTGTAAGCCAATTTGAAATCTTGAGTTGGAGGCAGCACTTGATAGTAAAGACCGCATATTTTGCAATGAGGGATCTAGAAGAAGAACAATGTTCTTATATGGAACAACAAAAGATATCAAGGTCAAGAGGAAAAGATGAACATGGTTTGTTGCTTGAAAGAAAAGTATTGATACACGTAGATATGAAGACAAGGCGCCAGGCGAACAAATGGTAATAAAAAAGTTTGATATTCTTTTCATGGTGATCAAGGATAGCAAAAGGAGAAATATGCAGATAGCCTTGTGGATATGATACCAAAAATTCCCCAGTGATAGTAATAAATTTATCATCCTATCTTATAGTGTTGAATATGTAATCGTCTTAATCCGAGATAATTGAGAAACCAAGAATAACACACATATTGCATTTAGCAAGTTAAAGAAGGTGATTTTTGTCCCAAAAGCATTTGATATGAAGGATTTGGCGCACTCACGGCAAAGGCGAATTCTCGGAATGGCGAGATTATCCGAGACCAGAAAGTCCTGTCAGGCTTATGGTTATTACAATCGGAAAAGATATATCTGAATGAGTTATAGACGCAGGTTCAATAGGAAGAAAGATCAAGGAGTAGTTATCACACTCGCCAGATTCACTTAGGAATGGAAGAAGAAAGGAATAGGAAAATAAGCCACGCAAAAGCGTGACTGACTAAGGCCGTAACTAGAGATTACGTTATAGAAAGAAGCGAAAGATTATTTGTGAGGCATTTTTGGGGAAAATATGGATTGAAAGACACTGTAAAGAGTGATTTGTCAAAAGCATTTGATATGAAGGATTTGGGATCGGCAAGGCGAATTCTCGGAATGGAGATTATCCGAGACAGAAAGTCCTGTAGGTTATGGTTATTACAGGAAAAATATATTGAATGAGTTATAGAGAGGTTCAATAGGAAGAAGATCAAGGAGTAGTTTATGAGATTCATTAGGAATGGAAGAAGAAGGAATAGGAAAATAAGCGCAAGCGTGACTGACTAGCTAACTGAGATTCGTTAGGAAAAGAAGCGAAGATTATGTGAGGGCATTTTGGGAAAATCTGAGATTGAAAGACACTGCTAGTAATTTGAGTGTTCGTATGATGATTTGGTTTTCCGATTTGCTGATTGCTGAACCGAAAGTGTGGTAAAAGAGCCCCTTTTTCCATTTGGAAATTCTTTTTAATTATTGGAATTGTGAAATTGAAATCGACATTTTTAAACGTATCAAACACTTGACTTTGAGAATACATAAAAATCAGACAAAAAGGGCAACTTCCAATCTCTTTCTCTTATTTATAACCTATGACAAGTCAAAACTCAAAAGTAAACGAGGAGTGAACTACACGCTCAACTACACTTGTCCAGGAATCAGTGATGTATTGTTCGGCTTTTTTGACCAGTCAACAATTTTTAGCTTTTCCTTTTGCTATAATCTTGAGCTATAATACTGAAGAGAACATAAACAACAACACCAATGATGTTTAGGCGTATAATCCAGCTAAGACGAATTATTTTGGATTGATTATTATTGAAAAATTAGACAATTTATTTATAATCTCGAGTTAATATTTGAATGAGCGTGAGTTGAAATTCCAAGTAATGAATTGCTCAATTATTTAAAATTATAACGCAGTGAACAGATTGATAAATTAATGGCAAAGAGAAAGGAATAAGCGTACCAACGTTAGGACAATTCATAGGATAAGGACGATCATGGCAAAGGCAGGTGAATCTGGAAGTAGTGGAGTTGGTACCACAAATCCCACTTGAATCGCTACATCTCTCGCACATTTCATCGGGCTTGTAGACAACATTAAATCCAGCTTTCAAAACTCTCTCAAAATTTCGAAGCCCGTTCCAAATAATTTCGATACGATATGCAGAAATCGGGACCTGCAATTCGATGTTACAATAGTTGGAAAGGTGGTCTATCTCCCACTCACCAGTCGCATAATATGCAGGCCTTTCTTCTCCATTTACATCACATGAAAATCTGTAGTTTGGAAAAGGAGGTTTTTCCGCTGAGCAATTGTAGAATAGAGTAACGTTTTGAACCTCCTGTTCATCTAAAAAGAGAGCATTGTCGATAGTAATCGGACGAATTTCAGCGATATTCACCGGACAAATACTTTCAAATAAATCCATTCGAACGATTGTAATCGTTATTCGTCCGAAGTCATCAACGGACAGTAACCGAAAATCTTGATTTGTGATACTTAGAACAGGAAATTGATCTTCTTCGCAGCGGAGCTTAAACCTTTGGTCACCACATATTTTAGACCTTTCATCGCTCCAAAAAGGATAATAAAGACCATGTAAATTTCCACATGAAAAGGTTTTCCTGCACTCTGTATAGTGCTTATCATCTTCACAGTAAGATGATGAAACAAAAAGTAAGAGAAAGAAGAGGGTGATCATGGAGTGTACATGGGATGGCAAGAACAGATGAGTATCCATTTATGTGTTTTTTTTTTTTTTTGTCAAAGAAGAAAAGAAGAAGATGATAAGTAATAATAACAGAAACTAAGGAATTGAAGAATTAAATATTACAATATTAAATGCAAAGTGATTATATTTATTTTGTTTGCTTCGATTATGAAGCACGAGAAGACATTTGACTAAGACTTTTGTATTAAGTAAATGGAAATATAGTTTTGATTCTGTTTGGTAGAAGATGATGATGGCGGGCGACAGACGAAAAACAAATTCTAATATTTGACCGTTTGAAGCTGCTGGGAAATAGCTTACAAAGACTATAAATAATCAGATTGTACTCCTTTAAACTCACAATCTTATAGTTGTAAAAGTTAACTTTAATAACCCATAAAGAACGCTGAAACAACGAGCTAGATTTGAATTCAATGAATTATCTTTACAAAGTTAAGAGTTCCATTCATGAAAATAATACTTATGAAGACAATTAGTTAAAAACTCTAAACAGAATTACTCTCTTACCCAATAGTTAAAAAAAAAAAAAAAAAAAAAGAAAATGAAATTATCTTTACAAAGTTATAGCAGTTCCATTATGAAAATAATACTTAGTGAAGACAATTAGTTTAATAAACTCTAAGACAGTAATTAGCTCTCTTAACCCAGAATAAGATTTAGAAAAAAATAAAAGAGAAAAAGAAAAAGAGTATAAGAGAGGTAGACTAATTGGGACCAAAAATTTGATTTGTACATAAAAAAGGAAATGTGAAATACATTATTTATGGAGAGAAGAGAGAGAGAGAGAGAGAGAGAAGAGAGAAGAGAGAGTTCAAGTAGTAAAATTTATTAATCTTGCCTCATTTGTGTTTTTTCAGTTAAGAATATCTCGTTTTAGTAGCATCGTTCTCGTAAAACTCATCAGAAAGAGTGCACAAACGATTTTTCTTATAATCACAAAGCGTCTGAGCCATTCATATAAATAGTCAGAAGAAAGACCGTGGAGTAGATATGAATTTTCCCAAAAAGGGAAGATTAGCCTTGAGGTCAGGGTAAATGGGGGTAATAACCATACAAACCGTTCAGTCATAATATCCCACGGGCTGGAATTTAAATGATTGATTGTTCCAAAGGTATAAAATGCTCTGAAATAACCTAGCAATAGTCAAAGATACTGCTTCTATTTGCATAAATTAAATGCTGGAACAAATGGGAGAGAAGAAAAAAGAAAAGGGGCGGGAAAGGGAGAGGGGGAGGGATTAAAAAAAAAAAAAAAAGAAAAAGAAAAAAGTATAGTAAATATTGGACCAAATTTGATTTGTACATAAAAGGAAATTGAAATACATATATGGAGAGAGAGAGAGAGAGAGAGAGAGAGAGAGAGAGAGAGAGTTCAAGTAGTAATTTATTAATACTCTCAATTTTTTTTTTTCAGTAAGAATACTCTCTTTAGTACAGTTCCTCGTAAACCATAAAAATGACAAAATTTTCTTATATCCACAATCTAGCATTCATATAATTCAGAAGAAAGACGTGGAGTGATATGAATTTCCAAAAGGAGTAGCCTTAGGCAGGGTAAATGGGTAATACCCAAACCTTCAGTCATATCCACGGGCTGATTAAATGTTGTTGTCAAGTTAAATGCCTGAAATAACCTAGCAATAGTCAAAGTACTGCTTCTATTGCAAAATTAATGCCTGGACAAGACCCTCTCCCCGACCCAAATGGCAAATACTCAAAATTTTGACCAGAAAAATCAACATATTAGCTCCATTGCCTAGAAATCTTTCCGGCAAGAACTCATCAGGATTCGACCAAATATTTGGATCTCTATGTAATTTCCATAAATTTGCAAATATTCGAGTTCCTTTTGGAATATAATACCTTGAAACTGTAACAATCATTTATTGCTTCACGTGGAACTGCAAGTAGACCTGGTTGGTATAATCGCAATGTTTCTTTAACAACAGCTTGAAGGTATACTAATTTTTCAATATCAGAATCTTGTACGCATCTTTCTCTTCCAACTTTGAGGTCTAGTTCTTGTTGGGCAAGCTCCAGTGCACGTCTATTGTTCAACAAATTTCACAAAATCCATGTTAGGGCTATGGATGTTGTATCAGCTCCTGCTATTATAAGAGTCTGCAAGCATAAAATTGAAAATATTACATTGAAGTTAAGAATAAACTAAATGAGTTTAGCATTTTATTACTTTGTCTTATGCAACGTAAGTTTAGATTAGCCGAAACTTACCAGGACCGTTCCTTTGATTGTGTCTTCCCGTGAGGGACCAACGTAATTGTCCTCTAGTATGGACAGCATCACATCAATGAGGTCGTCCTCCATGTTCTTGAAATCGGCATCATCATCGCCAACTCTGGTCTGAATGTTTCTCTTCAATTTATGTTCATCAATCCAAGTTTGCATAAGAAAATCCAATTCTTTTGATAGACGCTTCATAGCTTTCACATTTCCTAAAAAGTTCAACCACCATTAAAATGGGATTACATCTGAAAGAACAAAAACACCTGAAATGCACGTAAATTCCTTCATCAGTTTCCCTATTTGTTTCCCTTCTTCTTCATCATTTTCACCATTAGCAAAAATTAAAACATCTCTTCCGTGTAATTGTTCTTATAATCATATTCAAAGTCAAATGTTCGAAAAATTCACTAATAACAACATTGTTTGAGCTTTGTCCTTTTCTTATGGAAAGCAAGTATAAATCTTTAATCAGGGTGTTCACTGTGGAGATCTGAACGTGCTTCATTGACTTCAATCTATGGCTTGAAAGGAGTTGGATAACCACTATTTTTCGCATATCTCGCCAATAAGGACCATAGGGTGCAAAAATAAAAGCTGCATAATTGTAACTTAAGTACTTTCCAAGGCTTGATTTAGACCTGGAAGCCAAGATTTTGTCATTTGTTGCGAAGCATTCTTTAATTTCATCATGACTGCTGAAGACAACCATACGGTGAACACTGAACCAGATTGTGAAGATGGAACCATACTTATCTGCTAGGCGAGCTAAAGTTCGAGGAAGGGTTTTCTCAGTGCCTAGTAGATGGAGATGACCTAGATTTGGCAAAGCTCCAAATGGTTCTGGGGGAAACAGGCCCTTATTTCTGTGGCTATGATCTCTTAACCTCCATTGGTTGTACTTGTACAATAAAAGTAAAAATGCTACAACCCCTAAAATTGCTTGTAGATGACAAGAGATGTCCATTGATATTTCTTTGTTTATGTCTTGTGGTATGGAGTTCCGGCTTGGTGGTAGAGGTGCACATGGCTTTATCGACGATGTTTGAGATATCCTTTTGGTTTTATGTGGCTTTTAAGTTTTTGAAGTGTGGTATGTGTGGATAGTTCTGTTGGAAGAGTGCCAGGTATAAAATATCAATAGCCTTGGGTTGCTATCTACAGATTATGAAAGATAAAATGAGCATAGTATTGAACATAAATTTGGCTTTCAATCCATTATAACATATCTTGGTCCTTTGGTTGTTTTGTCTTGTTAAAAAATAACCTTGAAAAATCCAGATATTGTTCAAAATATCTAGATATTAACCTAGATAATGTAGATATTAAAAAGCAACCTAGATAAATATATTTAAACAATTCAATTTGATATTATATTATATTGTAGTATATTATATTATAATTGTTACAATTGCCGTCAACTGCTTTGTTAGATATTTAAATATTAATTATTAGTGGTTAAATCTTTATATGCATGAACAAAGTAAAGTGAACCGAGGTTATCTGATACAAATGATTCAGTAAAACAGTACATTGAGTTTGTATAATAAATTATTTGAAAAAAATAAACTTTAAACAACAAAGGTTCGGTTAAGTAAAAAAGTTGACATTTCTATCTACCCATTTACTCAAATGGTGTCTTTTTTTAATTTTTTTTTTTTTAAATCCAGCTGTAGTACAGTAAATTGATCAATTCGTTAAGCGGTAACATTCCATGAACAATTCAGTAATTATGTAAATTTTTTATTCGGTGAATACAAAAATTAATGCAAATTCAGTAAACAGTACGGACCAAATATTTATTCTCAATTGTTTATATAGGGATTTAAAGCATAAATATTTGGTAAGGATGTAAGTTTGATTACTGTTAAATATAAAATAATTTTAAAAAATTCAAAGAATTATTGCTAAAAGCTAAATATTAGAGGAAGTAACGTTTCATCAAACACATTCTTAATGTGTAAGCACTATTATAAATATTAGGATACTAAACAATATAATAATTATAGACGTAGTGTTTTACACAAGTATATAGTCTAGTGGTAAGTACATATAGATATTAAAAAAAAAAAAAAAAGAGGTATCCTTTGATTGATAGTCAAAATGCTAAACACTATATTAAACTTGTTATATTCTAAGAAAATTACAAAGTTAAAAATTCTATGGCTAACATAAAGAATGATGGAATTTATTTAATAAACATAAATTTTTGCTTAAGTTGAACTTTATTTTTCATTTTTATGATTAAATGTTTTATTATCGTTTTTAATTTTTATAATCAGCTTACTTAATTTATACAAAGGCATAAATTTAAATTATAAGATAGACTGCGGGTGGTATTAAGATATAATATCCATGGTTGTGGTATTCTGAAAATAATTTTTAACTTAAAAATGAGACAAACAGAAAAAACAAAATGGATAAGATAATGCTAAATGCTTATTGTTGTGAATTTTTTTTTGGTATAAAAAGGAGATATGCACTCCATTTGGTGTAAATGAATTCAAAATATGAAATTCATTTATAAATAAATTTGACAAAATTCATTTCATCATTTGATATGATTAATTTAAAATATGTAATTCAATTGTAAATGAAATTCAAAATTATCGAAAATTCATTTATAAATAAATTTGTGACAAAATGTTCCATTTCAATCATTTGATATGGAGTTAATTTAGAAATTAATGTAATGTCAATTGGAATTCTAATATTAATCAATGTAATGAAATAAAATTATAATTGAAAATTCATTGTGTCCCGTTTATTGTTTTCTAAATATTCCTCAATAATAGTAAACCTTACAGAAATAAATTAATCATAAATGAAGAATTAATATTTTATGTTATTGGTTTTGGTTAATAACCCTTTTTTAATTATTTTTATTATAAATAACAGTATGATAAAATAAAATAATATCTAGATAAATTTAAAATAAAAATAATATTAATAAAATTATTGCATTTAATTTAGTGATAAATGTATATTTAACTTGAATCACCTTCTTCAATAGTAAAAAATGCTAAGAAATATTCAAATAAAAGATAAAAAAATATTAAAATAAAAAATCAGAATAACAAGAAAATATTTTTCTAAACAAATAAAATTTTAAATGGTTTTAGTAAAAATAGCATAACATAAATGATTTAAATGGTTTTATTTTATTTTAAAAATAAAATAAATGATTTAAATAAGTAAAAAAATTAATGAAAAATTGACTTTGTAAAATAAGAAGGGTAGGTTTGTCATAAAAAGTTTGTTGATTAGTTTTGTGGAATTCATTTGCAAATTCCACTTGATTTTGTAGAATTTGGTTTAGTTATGTTCAATTCTATAGAATTAAATTCCTAGAATAGAAATCTATATTTTTTTTTTCATTCCAAACACAAAAATTTGAATTTCTAAATTTTGTAAAATTCATTTGTTCTAAATAAGAGGACAGTCTCTTCAGATCCGGAGATTAAATTTGTATTCCCACTTTTATAAAAAATTATGATGGCTTAATTACTATCTCAATTAATTAATTGTTGGCTTATGATTGTGAATTAGATACTCTTTAAAATTTGAAATATATATATAACAAATGTGTCACATTTCCCAATTAGAATAACATGAGCTTCCACTACTTAACTAATAAAAACACAAACCAGACCACATCTGGCTAGCGATAAGCTATAATTTTTTATAACTAATTAGATTAAGATAAAGGTTTTACAATAATGGGTAGGCCGTATTGAGGATGCAATGTAATGTGATTAATTGGAGTGTGTTTATATTCAGGGGAGAGGGAAAGGGAAAATCTTTGAAGAATCAAAGCAAGCACTATCTTAGCTTCCACCATTGCAAAACTCTGGCCAATGCAAACTCTCGGACCCATTCCAAAGCCGATGAAAGCATTTGGGTGCTTCGCAGCCTTTGAGACCCCATTTCCAAACCTAAATGGATTAAATGCATCTGCATCTTCTCCCCAATATTCTTTGCTCCTGTGAACTTTTGTCACTGGAATTTGTATACATGTACCTTTTGGGATCATCAAATTTCCCAATTTGGTATCTTTCACTAGAACCCTGAGAAGATTTATTATTGGACTGTACAGCCGTAATGTCTCCAGAAGAACCATATTCATCTGCAAAATAATTAAAGATAAGAAGAACATATAAAAGCAATTTCAGAATATAACCTGCCAGTTAAAAAGAAGAGAGAGACTAACCCATTTTAACTTGGCTAACATGTCAGCATCAGGAATTTCCATTGAACATTCTTTTAAGACTTCTATTCTAAGTCTTTCTTGCCATTCTCGGTGTAAGCTCAACATGAAGATTGTCCATGTCAGTAAACTGGAAGTAGTCTCATGCCCAGCAAAGAAGAATGCTTTGCAATTCTCCAAGATTTCGTTCACACTCAATTTGGTTTCACCTGCAATTTCTGAATATCCATTTATCATTGTACCTAGTAAATCGTCTCCATAATTTTTAGTACTATCTTTTGACCTCAATCTTTTTTCTATGATTCCCCTTAATGTGCTCTTCATCAAACTGTCTAGCTTCCAAATCCGAATATTTGATGGCGTAGGTAAATACCTGAGAGGATCAGATCAATCAAAAATTTCAAATTAAATACATATTATTATTTCGAGTAAGATCTGGTTAATTAATTACTGGCTTCCAGGAATGAAAAAGGCTGAATTTGCAGCTACACAGCATTTCTGAAGCTCCTTTTGTGCATTAAAAGCTTCTTTTCCTTGACCATAGCTACTGCCAAAGGCAGTGTGAGCAATTATATCATAAGTGAGCTTTATAAATTCTTGGCTCATTTCTATTTTCATGCACTGAGTTTCCTTGTAAGCTTCCAAAGGCTGATTCTTCCACCCTTCAAGCATCGCAATGGTGCAATCCGCCATTTTCTTTGTCATAATCTGTTGAACCCAAAGCCAATGAGGACAATAAATTACCAATAATCAAAAAAAAAAAAAAAAAAAAAAAAAAAAAAAAAAAAAAAAAAAAAAAAAAAAAAAAAAAAAAAAAAAAAAAAAAAAAAAAAAAAAAAGAAAGGTTAGCCATTTAAGTACAGGGTTTAACCTTTAGCTTGTCAATGGAAAAGGCGGGATTGAGTAGCTTTCTTTGTCTGAGCCAATCATGTCCTTCCACAAAAATCAAACTTTGTTTGCCAACGAGAGTCTTGAGGGTGGGCCTTACTGAAGATCTGACATAGAAACCATACTTGTTGGACAGTACTTCTTTAATCAGCTCTGGATCTGTAATCGTCATTCTTGCCTCCATCCCATACCAAAAGTACATTGTCTCACCTGATAAAACTTAATTTTTTTATAAATAGAACTGTGTATCTGAATTAACATTAAATTCAATATTTCATTTTTTTAATTTTCTAATATTAAATATAATAATCCTAATTTATTTAGTGTTTTTAAAATTGGACCAAACTGATCTGTCAGATAAATTACTCACAGACCAGTAACGAGTCGAATCCGATTTAATCATGTCATTTTCAATAAACCTGACAGCCATATTTTAAATTAAAAAAAGGTTTATCTTTTTAATACTTTTGAGTGGGTCAAATGATTAAAGCATTAAAGCAAATTTCAAAACTGCTTTCAAGGAAAAGGATTTAATCATGACATTAGCATTCAATATAATTTTAAAAGAACTTGCAAGAAATAAAACATAAGTCTAAAAGATATAAATAAATAATCTAAATTTTTTTTCTTAAAAAATATATATATTGTTGTATTATGTGGCCAATGTCAAAAAATAGTTATCCTAGACTTCATAATTAATAACTCACTGATTTTCTTAATTAATAAAATAATAGAAAAATTATAATTTCATTCTAGGATTAATCAGAATCATTCCAATACATAAATGATTTTATACTAGGTATCAACGATGAATAACTTGAAAAATAAATATGACGATCAATATATAATATTATGTTTCATTTAATTCTAAAGCCAATTCGAACCGTTTTAGTTTTAAAAGCATTTAACTATATACTAATAAAAACGATCTTAATTACCAAAAAAATAAAAATGATCTTATTAGTAAATGGCTACAATAAATGTAGAAAATTATAATTAAGCCCATGAACTAAGCATTGAAAAATTAAAACTAAAGAAATAATTAAACTATAATGGAAAGAAAAAGAAAACGAACCGTATTGAGAGGACCATTTATGATAATAGGGAATGACTTTCTGATTAATGTCATTAGAATTTGTATCTAAAACAATATCAGCTGCTGCAATTACAAGCTTCTTCATTTCTTCGATAGAACCATAGATGAACCTGTAAGGTGGGCCTTTGATTCCTTGCTTCTCAAACCTTTTTGTCAATGCATATGGTTTCCACAACACTTTCCATATCTTTGTAACAAGAATTACTACTAAACCTACTACAAAAGCTACCAAATAGCTCATTCTGTGTTTTTGATTAATAAAACTATTTGAATGCCATATATATTATATATATATATATATATATATATATAATATATATATATGAGATCATTAATTGCCTTAGATAAAAGTGAGATAATTTCATGGACCCCAACGGATAATTCACATGTTGTCATAGGCACCATTTTGAGGCCTTTGTGGAGTTGGTTTGTTCATTGTCTGTGAGATTTAATGTTGCAGGATATATGAGATCATTAATTGCTTAGATAAAAGTGAGATAATTTCATGGACCCCCAACAGGATAATTCACATGTTGTCATAGCACCATTTTGAGGCCTTTGTGGAGTTGGTTGTCATTGTCTGTGAGATAATGTTGCAGTTGTTATAGAATTTATGAAAATAAGTAATAAAATCGAAGGAACAAAAAATATCTATACGGAGAATATTGGAGAGCTTTTTTAAAAAATAAAAAATTGATTTTTAGGAAATTATCTTTTGGATAGTAATTTTTCTACAAACACTATAAATTTATAACTATCCAGTAATGCAGCGTAAAATTTTAATTTTTTTTTTTTTAACCCACAGCTAATAAGTAACTATTGAACTATGATAGCTGCATAACATCTTTTGTTCACCTATCCGTAGCTAATCCATAGCTAATTGTGGTGCTAACATTTGCTCTTAATTAGCTACAGAAATCAAATCCGTAGTTAGATTCTATAGCTTCAATTAATAACATTTTTTGAATTTTAAATCCATCCTAATAGCTGCGGAAATATGTCTGCAGCTATTTTCCATAGCTATTTCATGGTTTTTTCTTTTTCTTTTTAAGTTTGAGCGTTTAAAAATTCTATCTCTGTAATACAACGTCTATGTTATAAAATAATATAAAACTAGAGAGAAGAAAGAAAAGGAATAGAAAGTAAAATATGAAAGAGAATACGAGAGTATAATTATTATTGATAAGAAGCCACATATATATAAGTTACATAAGTAGAACCCTAATAGAGTCTACACAAATCAAAAAGATAGTGTTCGCAATAATAAAGAATACAGACTTTTAGCATATATAGTAGATCCACTTATTTTATAACAGTTTAAGCAATAAATTAAAATTGCACTTTTTAATTTTTTTTGTCATAGCAAAGTAACAAAAGTGAAAGACGATGAAGGACAAGTATGAATTGATAAAAGAAGAATAAAATTTACTAGGAATTTTATCCCTATTGATACAATGTCTAAATAAAAAAAAAAAAAATTAAATTGCACTTTTTATATTTCTTCTAGCATATGCCTAAGTAAGAAAGCAAAAGTAAAAAAAGAACAACATATGAATTGACAAAGGACGAATAAAGAACGAAAAACTAAAAGAAAAATTATTATTATGTCAAAATTAATCATTTATCCTCGCTTTTTTTAAAATATACTACTTCCCCTCTAATATTTTGTTCCATCAACATATCAATTGACAAAGAAAGAGTATTTTGTCTATTAAAAATGTCCTTTAAATAGATAAAATACTCTTAACCTTTCGAGTTCAAACCTGAGTCTTAGCTCGAGTTCAAAAATTTTTAAATGAGTCGAGCTCGAGCTCGATTTTCTAAATTCGAATTAAACTCAAATTGAGCTCATTAATACTCGGATTGACTCTAGTTATTTGTACCCCTGGTTGCTAATAACTTTGAATCAAATTTGTATTCTGTTTAGTCTAGGTTTTGTAGAATATACACTGCTTTGATATGTTTTTAACGAGCACAATTTCAGTGTGTTCAAAAATTTTTTTTAAAAAAAATTATTACCAACAAATATAGCAACAGATTTTCGATGGAAGTGCTTGAGATTTATTTAAAAAGACAAGTAAAAGGAATATTTTGATGGATTACTGATGAAAATTTTTTTTGTCAGATTTTTAATATAAATATAGCGATAATTATCGATAAAAAAATCCATATTATTAGATAACCGTCATAATTTCTTTTACTACATTCCGATGAATTTCGCAAGATCACAAAACATAGATATTAAAAGAACAGGAAGGACAGAGTAGAGAAACTCCAACAGCATTGGACACCCAGAAAATCTCAGCAACTCCAACAGCATTGGACGCCCAGAAACAGTTACTATTGTTTTTGGCTTAATGGATCCATGATTTTCATTAGATACCCAAAAATCTAATTCCACACTAAGCCATATATGAGGCCTCAATTCAAGGGTTCAGTTATACTGGATGGAGCACGATTTGCATTCCATGTTGTGGGCACATAGCAAGAATCTGCACAGGAGAGTGAACATAAGTTGGTGATAAAGTAAACCGGTAACGTTGCAGAATCATTGACAGTGCAATCTTAGTCTCTGTATTTGCAAAGTTGTATCCCACACAGCTTCGAGGTCCCAAACTGAATGGAAGATAGGCATTCACATTGTTGTTTGTAGCTTTGGCCAAGCCTTCTGCAAATCTCTCTGGCTTGAAAAGATAAACATCTTCTCCCCATATTTCAGGATCATGGTGGAGTGCAATGACTGGAATTTCGATTATTATATTTGCAGGAAGAAACAAATTCCCCAATCTGACTTGCCTTCGTACTTCTCTTGGGAGGGTAACAACTGGAGAATATAGCCTGAGAGCTTCATTGATAATCATGCTTACCTACAATGACAAAAGAGGAGAAGTAATTGAATCTTAAAATTCTCATACGATGACTAAGAGCCCACTTAGTTATATTTGGTTCACTTTGGAAATGAAACGAGAATGGAAATAGAATCTTTTGGTTATATTAAGAGCTATACTTGGATATCATTTCATATAAATTCAAGTTAATTATTCAAATATTAAAATATATAAAAATTTTAGATTCTTTGCGGACCAAAAATAAAAGAATTCTATTTCAAGAATTGCATTCATTTCCAGTTCCAGAGCAAATGAAAATGGCGTTTAAGCTTGAGGATTTAAAAGCATAAGAAGTAACCATAATGATGAAATTCGCTATTTATTTTTTGATGCTATTTATTTATTCAATTTTTGTTTGATACCTAGTATCAATACAGTTTCTTATTTTGAGGCAAAATACCTCGAAAAAAAGAAAAAATCGTGGTTGGGAAGTTCAGTCGAGTTAATAAATGGATAGAGTCCTACGATTAAAATCATAGGGAAACAAAAAGGCAACGAGCTTACTTTGAACAAGGTTTAAGATTTCTAACACTTACAATTTTCATTCTTGAGAGGCTATCTGGGCTTGGATTTTTCTGGCCAAATAATTCAATGACCTCCTTCCTGGCTTTAGCTTGCCAATCTGTGTGAACAGCTAGAAGAAACACAATCCAGCTAAGTAAAGTTGCAGTTGTTCCTTGTCCAGCATGATAAAAGGATTTACATTCATCAATTATTTCTTCAACTGCTAGTCTCTTTGTCATATCAGAATCATGATGTGCCTTTAACAGCAATCCAAGAAAATCACTTCCATAGTCATTTGATTGACTGAACATTGCTGCTTCTTCTCTTTTCTTAATCATATTCATAATGGAATTTCGTATGCCGTTTTGTATATTGTCTGATTCGACATCATCCCTGGTTTTCATAAGATATCTGGAACAACAGAAAACGAAATCTATAATTATATCAAGAAATTAGAAGGCATATAGAAAAAACCAACCCAATAAATTCAAGAACTAGTATATAGCAGAGGCAAGAACTATACCTAATTCCAGGAATTTTTATTCGATATTTGTTTCTATCAATAATGAGAATCAACTGGATTATTTTGTCAAATGTACGCTGCCCTTCCGAGTAGCTGCTTCCAAAGGCAGACCTGCAAATAATTTCTGAGCCTAGGACTAAGAATTCTTTGAACACGTCAATTTCATTTCCTTCATGATGTCCCCATCTTTCAAGCATCATTTCCACACTTGTCACCATTGCAGAAATCATACTCTGCAGAAGAAACCATATACACAACTCATGTTTCAACGAGTACTTGAAAAATTTCTCTGTTATCAATGAAAACAAATACTTGATTATTTACTTTCAGGCTCTCTGCATGAAAAGCATGATTGGATAATTTACGAAGCTTAAGCCACTTTTCTGATACCCTAGTCATTGCAAGTCCGTCTCCTAATAGCTTCTGAAGGTAACCATTATCGGGTTGGGGTTTGTAAAATGCTCCATCTTTATTGTTAAATATCTCTTTTATAAGCTCAGGTTCTGAGAACACCAAGTGAGCTCGAGGACCTTCCCACCAGAGGAAATTCTTCCCTACAATAATTTGCTCAAACATCAAACACATAAATAATGTTTTATAAAAAAGCCTTCAAGAAATAGAATAAATTGCTACCATAAAGATTCATCCATGATTGGAAGTGTGGCAATACAGTGGGAAACACTTGGTGTGATAATTCCATGGAATTGCTCGAAGCTCTCTTTGTCATATGGATAATCTCTTTGATGTTGCCGTAGAAGAGTTTGTAAGAAGGGCCTTTTATCCCTTGAGACCTCATCATGGATTGTATGCGCATAGGAGTACACCATACTTTGTTGAAGAACTTGATTAAAAATGAGAGCAAGATCACACACACAATACAGCTTGAGATATAAATTGCCTGCAGAGTTTCCATTACGACAGAACCAAGCATGCATTGATTATAAACTAAAAACACTAACTATTATTTATAAACTCGCTAGCTAGTCCATGATGTGTGAAGGGCTTAAGCATAATGACAATTAAACAGATTTCAGATGTGATTCATATTGCAGATGTGTAACCTATAGCTTGGTGCTCACTTGTGGTACACATTTGGACAAGAAGATATTGGAAAAAAGATGTCATTTCCATGTGAGTGGTCACCGTTCAAATGTTATAAGAATTCTTTTAAGTCAGGAAAGAAAAATTTTTATAACAATTCAAGATTTTTTTTTCTTCACTGAAATCTATGCTTCTTTTCCTCGCTACTCAAAAATCAGAATAGAAATTCAAACAATTTTTTTTTTTTTATCAAGGATAATTATTGACAGGACTTCTGGGTTTACTTATACAATTTACTGTAGGTAACCTTGATTTACAAACTCAATCAGTTTAATGGGTTTCAACCCAACACTAACAAAAGGAAACTACGTACTCACTATCCATTACAGCAAATCCACAAGCTTGGGTACAATGATTGCTTTGTCCACAACAAGAAGAAAGAGTAAGGCCATTTAATTTTTACTGCTAACAAGAAGACAGAGTAAGGCCATTTAATTTTTACTGCTAACTTAAGAACAAGCTTGGTTAGCTCTAGACAAGAAGAATGAAGTGTTAAATTTCACTTCTTGATCAAAGAATTGGGGTGGCTCTCTTGTCTAGACTTCCTTTTTAGTATCTCAACTTGTGGCTGGAAAATTGCTGATTCTTTCTTGTTTTGGCAAGTGTACTATCTCTTTCTTATATTGTACTGTAGCTAATGTGAAATGGTATTCCAAAGATTCTCTAATCCAGTCTCTTTCAAGCAATGTTTTTGGCTAATATTATCTACAAAATATATATATATATATTCTTATATTGTACTGTAGTAATTGCTGAAAATGGGTATCCAAAGATTCTCTAATCCAGTCTCTTCAAGCAATGTTTTTTGGCTAAATTTATCTACAAATAATATATATATATATATATAAATATATATATATATATATATATAATATATATATATTTTTTTTTTTTTTTTTTTTTTTTTTGCAAATAACAGATTATATTTTTTTGCAATAACAGATATAGGTTTACTTTTGCCCTTTGTTTGGAAGAATTGAATTCCACAAAATTTTGTGAAATTTATTTAGAAATCCATATTTTTATGTTTGAAATGAAAAAAAAAATGTCATTTCAATTCTAGGAATTCAATTCCTTAGAATTAGACATAATTACACCAAATTTCACAAAAATAGGTGGAATTTCAGAATGAATTCCACAAACTAAGCAATTTAACTTTTTATGACAAAACTACCATTATCTATCTACAAAGTCAATTTTTTAATTTTTTTACTTATTTAAATTATTTATTTTATCAAACTTGACCAAAACCATTTAAAAAATTTATTTTGTTTACAAAATTTTTTTCTTATTATTGTGTTTTTATTTTAATATTTTTCATCTTTTATTTTAATATTTTTTAACATTTTTTAATATTGATAAGAAAGATTCAAGTTAAATATCATTTATCACTAAATTAAATGCAATAATTTTATTAATATTATTTTTATTTTAAATATTTATTTTAATAAAATATAAAAAATTATATAGCATAACATAAATATTCGTACAGCAAAACCTTTTTAACCACCTGCCAACACCATTGCGCAGAACCCAGCCCTACCTAGGCATGAACAAGGTTTGGTTCCAAACTGGAACCCAGCCCTACCTAGGCATGAACAAGGTTTGGTTCCAAACTGGAACCGAACCAAAAATGCATCAATCAAAACTGGAATTGAACCGAAATCAAATTGATCAAAATTGAAACTAAACCGTGGTCAACGGTTCAAAGTTTCAAACCATAATTAAAACCGGTAGTTTAAGGTTTTGTTGCGATTACTTAAATTTAGAAATTAAAACCGGCGGTTTCGATTTGAAACCGTTAAAAATATATATATATATATATATATATGTTTTGTTTTGCGAATTACTGACATTTAAATTTTAGAATTAAAAAGGCCCAATGCAAGCAAGGCTTAAATAAAAGGCGCGCGTTTGCGATCTTGTCCACAAACGCGTTAAAATATATTATCATGCATTTAATCAATTAGGATAAGGTAATATTTTGTGCATCTCCTAGGAACTGTTATATGCATCTTTCACAACATTCGCATTTTTGGTTTCTTTAAATTAATTTATTTTCCCTAATCAGTTTAAAAATGTACGTTAACTTTAGCTTGAGGCATCTTCAGAAATTCTGATTAAATACAAATATACACCTTATAAATATTAATACTATGAAAGTAAGAAGAAAAAAAATTCTACTGTCATTTGACACTGGGAATAACATGCAACTTTTAATTTTTTTACACCTATTGAATTAAATGAAGTAATTATTTTGTTATACACTATAAAATTAGAACAAATAATGTAAAGAAAAGCAAGAAGTTTCTGAAGGGGTATTTATATTTTAACGATGAGTCAAAGCAAAAAAAAAAAAAAAAAGTTTATAAACATGTATAACAGGTCTCTGTGAATAATGAAATTTACCTATTACATTAAAATCTTGGTTCCGTTTTTATTTAACACAATATGCAATAGTAATTCTGTTTTCTGCAGTAGAACTCCAATTGAATATATTCTCCTATGTATTTTCTTGCATTCTCTGCTAATATAAAATGTAAGTACAAAGTCCAATTTTGACATAATCTCTCAGCTTTTTAAATTTATAGAAAATTAGAATACTAGTAAAGAATTTTAAATTATGTTTAGTGCGGTTGTAATAATTGTTTTTTAATGAAATTCTTAAAACTATTAATTTACTCTTTTAGTCCCTTTTTTTTTGTCTGAATTTAATACTATTGTTTTGTTCTAAATTTTTCTTATTTAGCTAAAGAAACTAAAAAGGTTATGGTGAATAAGTTATCTCAAATTCGGTTCAAACCGGAACCGAAACTTAAGAGCCGGCGGATTTTTAAAACTGTCCTAAAAGCCGATTTGTTTTCAGTTTCACCTTTTTTTAAAATCGAAACAGCATTTTTAGAAAACCAAAACCGGCGATTCTGGAAAGTGGTCCATATCTAACCCTCACCCTCCTTCTATCCTGGGTTTTACCCTTAGGAGCTTCCATCCATCAATTTTTTTTTTTTTTTTTTTTTTTAATTGCAAGGGCTTCATCCACATTTAATTTCACCCATTCTAATTAAGGAAAAGACATTCATCCACACATGCTAAAGATGGTTTTAGGTAAAGAAGGGGAGAGGACGCACATTCTTATCGCAAGCAAATAATATAATCCAATAGGAAGAGAATAGAATGTAATTATTTCTGTCCGCATCCAATAGAATAATACTGACCTCGAAAAAACATCCTCATCGCATTTCCTTCCCATTTCCAAATCCACTAACATGTAATAAAACAATAGCTGGGTGAGGAAGATAAGCTGGCAACAGGGACATACAAGTACAACGTGATGAAACCCTGTAGGGCAAACCAACCCATACACTTACATCCACATATCCAGCTATATCATTGATTTTAGGTTTTATTTGTCGGATTTGCGGTACCAAATAATTCTAATGCCTTGCAGAAATCACTGCGTTGGTTTTTTGGTTCTTAAGGATGGCTTGAGATGCCTGGCTATAGGAAAGGGTTATTTGTTACATATGCCATTCGATTGGCTATTTTGCAAAATGGGTGCTGGCAACATCTCTGTTAAATTCCTAAGGTACTCCTTAATTTTACGTATTAAAAGACACGTTTCAGCGATCTTGCCGGCAGCTCCAATTAAGCCATATAATTTTTGCGGCAAGTGAACAGGATAGGGGACTGTTTACTAACTAAACATAGTTTTTTCTTTGGCTGCGGGAAAAGTGCATTTTCAATATTTTGATGAGTCCCTTCCTATGGAGAGTGTGGCTTTGATTTTGTTCAAGTCTAGCAATGGTGAGAAAGCTCTCCGTATGCTCGAGATGAAATAAATGCAGGGTATCTATCAATTTGGGCGGCCATCTTGCTGGTCTAGTTCTAATTACGTTTTGTTTCCGGGTGTAAGCCTTTCTTTTGTATATCCAAAAAAAAAAAAAAAAAACAAAAAAATAAAAAAATAGATACATAAAAAAAAAAAAAAAAGAAAATAAACATAGACAATAAAATAGTTGGACTAATTGGTACAACCATTCTTTATTTTAATTATGAGAAATTGAAATTATTTTAAGAATAAACTCTTTAGGAAAACAAAAGCTATCATGAAGGGAATTTTCACGTATTACAATTTATTCCAAAGTACATGTTTATTAAATTTACTTAGAATTGCAATTGACACATTTTTATATTAATAAATTAATGCAATACCAAAATATAAAATATGAAAAATTCATTCTATAAATGAAATTCTACTATAATTCATTGTACAAAATGAATTTCATAAAATTTGAATTTATTTATCCCAAACGAAGCAGTAAGTATTGGGCCCGTTATAATGATCCTTTGAATCACCTTTAAATTTTTTTTTTAGTTTTTTTTTTTTTTTTGTGAACTTTTTTTGTTATTAATTGTGCTATAATTTTGTAACTTTCCCTTTCTATAAAAATCGTTTTTAGTTATTGTATATTTTTAATTAATAAAGCCATAAGAAGTTAGAGTTTATGATCTTAAGAAGGGTAACACTGACAGAGTGAGATAGTTTACTCTCTGGGTCAATAAAGAAGTTTTTTTAATATTGGGATTTAAGTATTTTTTAGTGAGACACCGAGTATGATTTAAATTCTAAATAAGCTTCTTGCTAGTTGTAAGTTAGGGACTTTTGTATTTACAACATTCTATTATTTATTTAATTTATTATTATTAGTATACAATGAATTAGTTCTTTCCTCTCATTCGAGTAACAAGTTTTCAATTCAATATTTTCTCAAAAAGATATATAAATATAAAATGATTAAGTTTTCTCATGACTTATCCTAATATATAGTATAGTATCAATCTTTTTTCTCTTATCTCATAAATTGGTAAAAACAAGACTAGTATAGTAATACCCCTTCGCTAAAAATAAAAAAAAGATAAAAAAAGATAATCTAATTGTAAAAAGATAATTTTAATACCTATCCACTGTTCAATGTCATGAATGACCTCAATTAGGACTTTGTAATCTTTTTTTTTTTTTTTTTTTTTTTTTTGAGGTACTAGTAGATTTTAAGGGGGTTCGAAACCTCCAGGATCTATTGCCAAAGATTCTACTAGACTAATACCATTAGTACATGTATGACGTAACTTTATAATTTAGACCTTTCTTTCGACTTCATAACTAATCGAGCATACATGGCCGACAATTTTTTTTACCCTGTATTCTTTAACCCTTGATTTTGCATATATTTTTTAAAGTTCTCTTATTCCACTTGAATTTTTTATAAAAATGCTACATAAACATATTTCAGAAACTATTGAGAATGTCACTAAAATTTTGAAAATGAAATTTCCATAAAAAATTATTAAAATACAATAAATAAATAACTTCGTAAGTTAGTAGCAAAGATAGAGAGGAAAAATAACAAGGTTTGTATGAGATTAAAATATAGTACTATACCGCTTTCGAAGAAAAACAATTAGAAAATAAATATAATTAAAA